TACAGCATCACGAAAGTTGGAGACATTGCCTGACGTTGCTGTCTCCAACACCCAATGGGATAACCTGTCATCAAAACTAATTGACTGGTCAAAGCCACAAAGTCGAGGAGAATAAATTTATTTATGCCGACTTTCTAACATGCTACGGTATTCTTCATCAGGGCACGACACTAAATGAATAAATCATATTCAAAAAATAACGATTGTTGCGTATATCGACCATTCTCGATCAGCGTGAACATGTTTGACCACTTATTCTGCAGTGTCCCCGCAAACATTCACGTTCTCCATTCCCAATAAAATCCTGAAACTGACTACTGCTAAGAGAATACTGAAAGATTTGTCCTTCGACCAGATTCCTGGCAGAAACTAGAAGTTCTTCGATTGTGTGTATTTTTCTTTTTTTGTCAATACGTGCCTGAGTTCTAGTCGAGTGATGGTACTACTCTGAAGATTTCTTGTGACTCAACGCAGCACAACCGACCGGTGATGAACAGCGTATATTTAGAAGTACACACCAAACCGGTAATTTCGTTTCACGTTGGCCAGAACTGAACCGGACCGGTTTGCTGGCACAACGGCACGCCCAGGACTGCACGTACGATATTTATGGTTTAATTGATCTTGAAGATATTTTTTAAACAGTGCCTCATTTCTCACAAACGATTTGAAAACATTCAAACACAACCCCGAAGACGAAGACGACAATCAGCGTCAGCAAGAAACCGCGTTTGTACGAACATGCATACAACATACACCGTTTAGTACGAACATTTATGGATCTCATTGTATAATTCAATAGTGAAAATACTGCTCTTATGGACAAATGCATATGGCACTTCTCTGAAGCACAAGGACGTAAACAGTTTTGTGGTGTATGACATAAGTCACAAAGCAACAATGTCATTCACTCATTGTTTTAGCCACTAATCCTCTTGAACAGGAAATTTAGCATGCGTTGCTTCAATTCAGGATTGCTCGGTTGGTAGAGCGTTGGACTCAACACAGATAGGTCCCGGGTTCGAATCCGAGTCCGGCCGGAGTGGGGTCAATCGTCTTTCTTCTTTCAGAAGTAGGGTATTAAACGAGTACCACTCTGTAAAATAGGACCCTTTCGATTGATAACATGGAAATGAAAACCAGTGCCCCACGATAGCTTCATGAAAAGTAGGGCACCAGAATACATCCATTCTGTAGGTGTCAGGGAGACCGACATTCTAACGGTTACGAACTTTTCTTTTTATCTCAATCAGAAAATCTGCTTATGGCTTCTTTATATGCCACCGTTCCACATAACATCGATTTACGCTCATTGCCTTGTATTCACCTCAGTGAACTAGAACAGACCGTCATTTGTTGCTTCAATGCATCCATTCCAAAAGAATTTATTTTACATTCGGCAGTTATTTTGCAGTAATGAAAAGACCTCGCGTTTTCCTTGCAGATCAAACCTCAATCAGATTCTTCAGTGGGCTTTCCTCAAGCAGTGATATCAACGACGACCTTCAGCTCTTTCGTACCGTTCTGTCCAGATGTTGGGTCAGAGAATCAATCATTGGAACAAATGACTGAGAACCTCGAACAACAGTCAGTTCTCATAAATGATGCATCGCGCCAACTGCTCTCTCAACAGAATATGACTAAATGAACCGAACTAATCGTCAGACTTCTCATAGTTGTTTGAGGAACCTATCCGCTTTAGGTACTGCTGAAGCGTAAAACCCAGAACCATCATAAGAATTTTGTCGTTACCCGACACCCTGATGTATCAGCTATATTTCGAGAGCCATCAGAGTCAAAAGCATATATTTTTCCTTTGGTACAGACCAGTCGAAAGCTCTAAGCAAATAAATCTGAAAAGTTGTTGTCGTTCGTGCCTAAGACTGAAGCAAAGAGAGTCTTTGCATATAGAGTGGTCTTTAAAACAGCAAAGCTATCGTATTCCTACGAAGTTTTGATCCCGTAGCATTTCATACGTAATTGAATTAGGCTTACTGCCGCTCAAAAAGAGATAGCTACTGCTTACAGTAAGAGTAAACATAAGCTAATTTGACTTGACTGTTCATTGATTTTTATTCGTGGATTACACCCTGTCTGATTATTGGTAAGCTATTACATAGATCCGAGTGAATAGAAGCTCAAAGGTGGACGCATTAGACAGCAAAGTCTATTTCACGCACTTTCTTGCAGGACTACGCCAGAGAATGATGCTCAAACCATTGGTAGTTGAAGAACTTGCTACCTGTTTCTCAACTGACTGCATCGAAACACAGAAGGGTGAGTTTTTTACTCAAGGGGATCAGTCATCCGCTTTGTCTTCACAGGCCTGATCTTAACCCATTTAAGACCATGCTGATTCTGCATGGCTAAGGTTGCGGTGATTCCATACGCTTCGACAGAGAGCTAACATTTTAGAGCATTCCTTAGGTACAGAGATGGTCTAGCATAGACAAAGGAATGTTGCTTATGGCTTCTGGGATATAGTAGTTGATTGAGACTCATTGCGTTTTGTGTGTTTGTGGAAATTAGCCCTTGTGCGTGAACAGAACCTCTCTG